TCTTCCAATTGCAACAGATGAAAGACTTGGCTGAACAGTTTATATGTGGGTCAAATGACGACAAACAGCTACTCCAGGCCACAGAACAGTTTCGCAAATCTTTATTTAAAGGTATTAATTAATTAATTCACCTTTATTGAAGCCAATTAATTTGATATTAATCTTATTACTATTTACGCTATTTTCTCTTATATCTCTGATTCCATTTTCTTTCAATTAGTTCGTTCCCCAGATCCAGTGAGGGAGGAAGTAATACGTGGAGTTGTCCCTCGACTGTTAGAGCTTCTTAATAGAGATGGTTACCCGCAGCTTCAGGTTTAAATTTGTGATATTAATTGCTTCTTCTTGTTTACTTCATGTGTTTCAACTGCTAAATACATTGAGTAATTCATTTTTCTAGAGAGAGGCAGCATTGGTTATATCAACTATTTCATTCGGTCACATCAACATTCTGATTGATCATGGCGCAATTCCCATTTTTTTGAGCCTTCTTAGATCTCCCGATGACGATCTTTGCTCAAAGGTAGGTGTTGTGTTGTGATTTTATACGTCAATTAAACAAGTAGTAAAGTATGCCTAAAAGTCTGTATTATTGTTCCTACGAGGATCACATAATGAAAATAATGTAAAATTGCACAAATAGACAAATTTAGGGTTCTACATGTACAAAAAGTACTAGGATTCACGAGTTTATCGTATTTATCCCTTAATTTCAATCACTAAATTCCAATAATAACTGATTATGTGTACCTAGTTAGAGGTGGAGCCATGGTCCAGTTCTAGTAAGGTCAAAACTTTGATAAATTTTTTTCCCCAAATAAGACAAAAATGTAATATTTTCTGACAAAAATCTCCAAGCTACAATTGGTCCTTATTGATTTTCAGACTTTAATGTCACGACATCTTCATTATAAATTTCATTTAGTGCATTTTTTATACATAACGAAACTTTAATTTCCCTACTACTTAATTTTTTTATTTTTTTTACAACTTCATGAGTTTATCAAATTACATAAATATAAAAGTCATCATATAGCGATAAGTGTGTTGTAAATTGTACCTTGAAAAGAAGTCAAACGGATCAAGAAAAGTAAAAACATCAAAATTCCGTCTAGTTGGACAGCCGCGGCTGGACCACGAGAAACGAAGGGTCGTTGTTAATTAATTCCTATTTCGGGTCTCAAGTTTATGCAACATTTTCTTCTCTTTTTTTTTTCCCCACGCAAGTTTTTAGATTTTATACTTTCAAACTGCAAATTGCACACAAAGTCCTTGAACTCTTTTGAATTGTTGATTTTGACCATAAACTTTTCATCTCATCAATTTTCGTCGTCTTACTTTTTGACATGTCGCAGTTAGTCCTTCAACTTCTATATTGTTGTGCTTTGGTTAGTATTTCTACATTTTCCTTCGATTTGATCAATT